TCAGCTGAGATGATTTACTCCAGCTAAATGAGTTGATGATTTACTCAACTCTGTGGTTTCAGCCGAGATGATTTGCCCCGGCTAAATGAGTTGATGATTTACTCCTCTGTGGTTTCAGCCGAGATGATTTACTCCGACTAAATGAGTTGATGATTTACTCAACTCTGAGATTTCATCCAAGATGATTTACCCCGGCTAAATGAGTTGATGATTTACTCAACTCTGTGGTTTCAACCAAGATGATTTGCTGCAGCTAAATGAATTGATGATTTACTCCACTCTGAGGTTTCAGCCGAGATGATTTACTGCGGTTAAATGAATTGATGATTTACTCCACTCTGAGGTTTCAGTCGAGATGATTTACTCTGGCTAAATGAGTTGATGATTTACTCAACTATGTGGTTTCAGCCGAGATGATTTACCCTGGCTAAATGAGTTGATGATTTACTCAACTCTGTGGTTTCAGCCGAGATGATTTACTCCGGCTAAATGAATTGATGATTTACTCCACTTTGAGGTTTCAGCCGAGATGATTTACTCCGGCTACATAAGTTGATGATTTACTCAACTCTGAGGTTTCAGCCGAGATGATTTACCTCGGCTAAATGAGTTGATGATTTACTCAACTCTGTGGTTTTAGCCGAGATGATTTACTCCTGCTAAATGAGTTGATGATTTACTCAACTCTGTGGTTTCAGTCGAGATGATTTACCCTGGTTAAATGAGTTGATGATTTACTCAAGGTTTCAGCCGAGATGCTTTATCCCGGCTAAAGGAGTTGGTGATTTGACCAACTCAAAGGCTCTAGCCGAGGTGCTTTACCCCGGCTAGGGAGTTGATGTTTTGCTTAGGTCAAAGGTTCCTGCCGAGGTGATGAAACATAAGTACAACAAGCAGTGCAACAGTTAACAAAATTAGAATTTTTCATTGATGATAAACTGTAATACATAAGGTGGGGTAGGCAGCTCGGTTACATTCTCAAAAAAAAAAAAAAAAAAAAAAAAAGAAAACTAAACTAAGGGGGAAAGGTCAGCGAAGTCGTCCCTGGTTGCAACTACCTCCAAGTCGACCGTAGTTGTGGTTTCTCAAGCACCAAACTCAACCTGGCTAGCCTCCTTAGGGCAGTTTTCTCCCTCGGCATCGTCCTCGGCGTTGTCCCCGCCTTCTTCCTCGGCCTCAGCTTGCAAGGCATTGAAGACATCATTTGCATATGGCACCATATAGGCCGGCAGAAAGGCAGCGGAGGGAGAGGCAAACACGTCAGTCCCAGATCCTTGGTTGAGTTGTTCGTAAGCAGCCTTCCAACCAGACTTAATGAATATGTCCTTGGTGGCTCGACTTGCTTAGTGTAGCTTTCTTCGGCCTCCTTGAAACCTTCATTGTTTGCCTCATCCACTTCATCTTTCCCTGATTGCTTCAACACTTCCAGCTCGGCCTGGAGAGCGTCCATTTCCTTCTCAACGACTCCAAGTTGGCCGAGCAGTTTGGAGTTGTCGGTATTTGTAATCTCTAAAGAAACCTTCGACCGTCCCAGCTCGGTTTGAAGGTGCTCGACCTGGCTGGCGGCGTCAGTCGCCTTTTGCCGGAGTCTATGAATCCACTCCATTACAAGATGTTGTTTCTAGATGGCCTGCAAGAAGAGAGTTTGAATAAAGAAAGCCGACCGTGCAAACACTTGAAAAAATTTGAGTAAAGCATACGGAATTCTTACCTGGGTCATAGACTTGACCGAGGACTTCACGAGCCGGGTGTCGGGCACGTGGTCACTGTCAGTCACGTCGCTCGGCAGGAGTAGGGCTTTGGTCAGGCCAAAGGCTAAGAGGTGTTCTTTGTCGCCTTTGACCGAAGCGTTGGCCGGGATCTCCTTACCCCGGTGCTTTAACTAACGCTTCCAAGGTGGTGTTTGCTCAGATGCGACCGCGGGTTGTTCGGTGTTCAGCTCCACAATGAGCTCGGATGTGGGATCGGCGGTTCGAGGCCTTTTCCCGACTCGGCGGCTGTCCTTGCTGGTCTGCGCCGCAGCTGTTGATGCCAACGCAACCACGGCCCCACTTGTTTGACCGACAGCAACTGCGCGGGGAGGGATGCTCAGCAGCTCGGTAGATGTGGCGGTGATGAGGTTCTTGATGCGGCTCCGCTTGGCCATCTCTTCTTCTTCGGTCAACCGGATTAGGGGCATGTCTGGTAGTGTTGGATTGGGTGGTGGAGACGGTGTTCGGAGAAAGTCTGTAACCCTACTCTGGCGGGAAGCTGTGTATCTGTAGCTCGGTATGTAGCCGAGAAGTTCGTGGCAATCCCGGTTACGATACCGCAGTACGGTTCTGATGGCGGCCTCGTTGGGGTTATAGTAGTTTGCTTGCAAGGCTTCTATAGCTGCAAAGTGGGAAAAGAGAAAGAACATTAGTACAGAACAGTGAAGAAAAATGGATTGACCGAGCAGTGAGCACGGCTTACATGTCGAACCGAAGTTCTTGCTGATGTACCAGCCGGGCACGTTGGCTGTTTTGTAATTCCCGGACACCCAGAAAAAGTCATCGTCGTACATATCTTTATCTGGGGTGCCAGTTACAATTTTCTCCTTGCCTGGCCTAATCTTTAAATAGTAGTTAAGTCCATCGCCTGTATGCCCGAGGGTGTACTGGTGTAGAATCTCGGCTAATCCTAGACTCAGGCCCAGCCGGTTGTTTAGCTCGGCTATCCCGTTAATTATTCTGTAGGTGTTGGTTGAGACTTGTGTTGGTGCTAGCCCAATGCGCCTCTGGAACTCGCACATTAGAGGATTGACCGGGAAGCAAAGTCCGCCTTCGATAATGGAAAGCACAGTGAAAGGGCATTGGTCTAGTCTGCCCCAAGGAGTTGTTTCCTCAGCACCGAGCTCGAGATGTACGTCTGCGGGGACGCCGTATTCTTCCCGGAATACGGTTAGTGCGATCGGCGTGTCAACCAGGAAGCGATAACGCCCCATGTGAAGCCGACTGGTTTTAGCACGACTGTGTTGGTTTGGCAAACTTTCGTTTGATGGCTGCTCGGCCTTTGAGAGCCTCAGTGTTGGTGCTTGGTTCCCTTGGACTCTGCAGTAAAAGGAAGTGTAAGTTTAAGTGGAGTACGGTCGGGCTAAACGAGCTCGACTTTAGCTCGGCCAGATGGATTGCCAGACCATCTCGGTCATAGAGGTATACCCAGAAGCTCGGCCGCTCAAGCAGACCAGATATTAGCCCGGTCGAGCGGTCCAGCACTCTGTTACCTCAGTTCCCACATGATTTTTGCAAACTTGCAACTAGCTCGGTTTTGGCATTTTATGGGATCAAAAAAAGACCTAAAGCCCGGTCCGCCCTAGATCCACGCGTGTTCATCATAGAAAATGAAGAATAGACGAGGGAGAAGGGGCAGAGGTGATTTTTTGGGGGGTTGCATCCTAACACCTACTCCAATCGTGCCTTAGACTCAATATCAAGTGAAGAACAAAGGAAGTTAGAGGACTTACCAGTTAGGGCACTGACGGTGGCACGAAGCGGTGGGACAGAGGCCCTCAGTGGCGTCGATGGTGTGAAACGTGCACGCGTAGGCGCTCTGATCTCTGTAGAAGGAGTAAGGGCCAGAGCACTCGATTGCAGGTTGATTTTTACAAGAAGAAGATGAGCGAAGGAGAAATGGGTAAGGAGCAAGCAACGGTTATAAGAAGGGAGAACGAGTGCCAAAAATTTTAATATGAAGAGACGGCAGGGTTGGAGGCCCGAGGCCAATGAATGATCGACGCGTATCCATAATGACGGTGGCGTCAGTACTGAAGAGACAAAATGGCAAGTTGAGGCGTCAACCGGGCAAGTCAAGAAACCGAGCGTGGGGATTAACGCGGTTAACGTCTTGCGGATGAAAGACCGGCGGAGAATCTACCCCAGTCGGATCATGTAATCCCAGTCACGCTTGCGTGGACGGAATTTAGGGGCAATTGAGAGGGAGATTCATAATCTGGCTTTGGGCCGTGGAAGAAGCCGGGCAAGTTGAGGGCCGTCCATGTTTAGGCCGAGCTAACTTGGGCTTATCCAGAGGTGGTTTTGCTCGATCGAGGCCCAGGCCCCATGTTCGGACCAAGCTACTTGGGCTTGTCCTTGTCCAGAATTGGTTTTGCTCGGTCGAGGATCAGGTCCCATGTCTGGACCGAGCTTACTTGGCCAAGATGATCGTCTGCCAACCCAGCTAAAATGGTTCGCATGTTTAGCTCGGCGCTAAAGGCTTTCTGAATAGTGGCTCAATCTGTCTGGAACTCGGCTTTATCGAAATGCTACTGAGCTCGGTTGTGATGGAGCTGGGTGAGTGAAGCCCTTAGGCTCGTTACATAGCACGGTCGTATGAGGCCGAGGTGATTCCGCCGGGCTGCCCCGTTCCCGTTAATGTCGTCTGGAAGTTTGATTAGGTGTATTTTAGCGAGATTTGCGCTGATTGATGGGAGAGCAACTCCACATGTCAATAAGCGAGTGGATACAGAGGCGAGCGCAGAAAGTATATAAGCATGACTGCACCCCCATGCTGGGGATGGAACATCATTTGGTGAGAAAAAACCTAACCCTCATTGAACTCTTCTCTCTCTTCCTGAATGTATGCTAACTTGACCATCGGAGGGGTTTTGGCAACACACCGCCAGGTAGCTCACCGCCGTTGTGTTCGCAGGTTAAACAGATAGAAGCGGAGCGTGGACGAAAGGGGTACGGGCGTTATCGAATATAACTTAGATAAATTTTCTTGTATATTTTGCAAGAAATTATTAGGTTAACTAACAAGTTAATTTGAGTTATACAAAAAATTTTAATTTTAATTAATTTCTTGAATTCTTTATCTAAAGAAATACAATTCCGATTCATAGCTCGAATCTTGTGGCTCGAGAGTGGCTCGAATTTGGTTTTCTATCCTCTGCAGGCGTGTGCTTGAATTGAATGAAGTATCAAAGCCAAGCATTATATTTGGCGACAAAACACTAAAAAAAGAACGAAAAAGAAGAGGAGTCTTGACTGGTATCATTCGTGAGAGGAGCGATGTATCATTCGTAACCTAGCGGCACTGTACATTTTCGATCTGGGTTGTTGTTGCTGCCGTGGGTGCCGGAAGCTACTGCCATTGTGTTGTCCATAGTTAAAGAAGAGGAGTCTTGACTGGTATTTTTGTTTCCTTTTTCAGTTCTTTGCTCGTTATTTGAATCTCCTTGTACTGTATTTTTGTTTCCCTTTTGTACAAATCCACTCCATTTCTCTACAAATCCACTCTGTTTCTCTGCTCGTTATTTTCGTTTATATATATGATTCGGTTCGAGTCACTCAAATATATATCATGCCCATAGAAACAGATTCGTTTGGTTGTGACTTGAATCTATTTGGTGAGTTGGTTCAAGTTCTAAGTGGCTCGGATATATATCATGCCCATTTTCTCTGTTTCTCTGTGCTCATTGATTAAATATTGATTATTTGAGAGTGAGTTGGTTCAAGTTCTAACTTCTGTTTGGTTCAATAATTATTTGAAAATTCAAGTTACAAGGTTAGAAGCCATCTGTAGAAATGGGTAATGGCTCGGAGATTTTTGAGGCCTCAAGCCAAACAAAAAAAAAGGGCATTTGGCAATAAGAATTTTTTTTGAGAATTTTTGGCCTAGAAGTTAGAACTAGAGTAGTATCATGTGACCACTATAAGTCAGCTTAGGTTCTATTTCTGAATCAGATTCACTTCCGATGTGGAGCACATTACTCCGTATCATATCAGTCTTTCCGGGCTTACTATTTCAAAGAAGAACTGTTTTCCATGTTGGGCTTGCTAACTTCTCCAGTCAAGGTGGGAAGCCATGAAATATGCCAGTAAATCTAACATATATATTCCCATATATATATATATTAGATTCATCCCAAATATATCCATAATTTGAAATCAATCTTTTGCTTCAAGAAGTATAAGAAAGTTTTCAAATCCTGTAGGTCACATATTTGAACTGCTATATTGAAACTGTACCATTTTCTTGTATAGTATTAGAGAATAATTGTTATGATAAATACAAGAATAATTTTAATACTTTGCATGTCTCCTTATTTGAATAATTTTCTTAAGTTAGCTTCACATGTCTCCTTTTTCTCCAGTCAAGGTGGGAAGCCATGAAATATGCCAGTAAATCTAACATATATATTCCCATATATATATATATTAGATTCATCCCAAATATATCCATAATTTGAAATCAATCTTTTACTTCAAGAAGTATAAGAAAGTTTTCAAATCCTGTAGGTCACATATTTGAACTGTTATATTGAAACTGTACCATTTTCTTGTATAGTATTAGAGAATAACTGTTATGATAAATACAAGAATAATTTTAATACTTTGCATGTCTCCTTATTTGAATAATTTTCTTAAGTTAGCTTCACATGTCTCCTTATTTGATTCCATAGCATTAGATAAAGATAATTGTTTGTACTCTAAAATTTTGTATTCTATTTAACTTTGAAGGTACAATGGATATTGATTCGAACAATAACTTTTTCAATGGGAGTGACGAAGTTGAAGAAAAAGATAACAGTCTTTCATTTAATGAGTGTGAAGATGACGAAGTTAAAGAAGAAGAAGTTGAAGAACCTAAGAAGGGAATGTATTTTAGCTCAAAGGAAGAGGTGTACGCATTTTATGCAGAATATGCCAAACACTCGGGATTTGCTATAGCTTATAGATCACAAAATTTAACATGTGATGGGGAAGTTAAGTACTTTGGAATTAAATGTACTAGGGCGCGGAACAGAACAAAAAGATCAGAAATAAATCCCTTGGAACCATCTTTGTCATCAAAAAATGAGTGTAAAGCAAGGGTAAGAGCCAGTCTACAAATGGATGGAACATATAAGTTAACCACAGTTGTGCTTGAGCACACTCATGATTTGGTTGCAACTGACTCACGGCATTTTGCAGTGAATAAGAGGATTGTAACGCCGGTGAAGAGGAGATTAGAAGTTAACGATGCAGCAGGAATTGGGGTGGCTAAGAATTTTCATTCCATAGTTGTTGAAGCGGGGGGATATGAGGCATTAACGTTTGATGAACGAGATGCAAGGAATTATATCAACAATGCTAGAATGTTGAGACTTGGGGTAGGAGACGCCGAATCAGTTACACATTATTTTCATAAAATGCAACAACAAAATTCAAACTTTTATTCGGCAATTGACTTTGATGAAAATGGCCGCATGCGCAACTTGTTTTGGGCAGATGCAAGGAGTAGGGCGGCTTACAAAGCATTTGGGGATTTTGTCTCTTTTGACACAACCTATTTGACAAACAAATATGACATGCCATTTGCTCCGTTTGTAGGAGTTAATTACCATGGACAGTCAATTTTGTTCGGTTGTGGGTTGTTAAGTAATGAGAACACGGAGACTTTTGTTTGGCTATTCAAAGAATGGTTAAGTTGCATGTCAGATGCTCCCCCAAAAGCGATAATAACTGATCAGTGCAGATCTATGCAAAATGCCATAGAAATTGTCTTCCTAGAGGCTCGGCATCGTTGGTGTTTATGGCATATTATGAAGAAAATTCCCGAGAAATTAAGAGGATATTCACAATATGAGTCCATTAAGGTTGCTTTCAGTAATGCAGTTTATGACTCATTCACAATAGATGAATTTGAGGAATACTGGGAAGCAATGATTGAAAATTTCAATTTGAATGATAACGAGTGGTTGGGGGTATTACACCGTGAGCGACATGGGTGGATTCCTGCCTATGTTAAAGACATATTTTGGGCTGGCATGTCAACTACACAACGAAGTGAGAGTATGAATGCATTCTTTGTTGGATATGTGAACTCCAAGACAACGTTGAAGCAATTTGTTGAGCAGTATGACAATGCGCTGAGAAGTAAGGTAGAGAAGGAGACAAAAGCAGATTTTAAGTCTCGTAACAAATTGTATGATTGCTTAACGGTGTATCGTTTTGAGAAGCAATTTCGTGCAGCTTACACTAATTCCAAATTTAAAGAAGTTCAAGTAGAACTAAAGCGTCTAGTGTATTGTCGTGCAAATCTTATCAAACAAGAGGGAGCAGTTTGTACCTATCATGTGAGGGAGGCTATTGTTGTGGGTGAGGGGACGAAGAAAGTGAAATTTGTTGTGTACTTTAATTCAACTAAATGTGAGCCCCGATGTATGTGTCGGTTGTTTGAGTTTAGAGGTATTATGTGTGCACATTCACTTTCTGTGCTCATTGAGAGATCCATATATGAGGTGCCAACTAGATACATTGTTTCGAGATGGAGAAAAGACTTGGAAAGAGGCTATACATGCATTCCAACCACATATACTAACTTTGGCTCTTCTCTACATCCAAAGTTGCATGATAACTATCACAACACGTTGGATGAGATCCTAGATCTTGCTACCAATGATGATGCTAAACACAAAGTGATTCAACTTGGGTTGATGAAAATCAAAGATGAAGTGAGAACAGTTCAATCAAGTAGTGCGAGTAATGTGCCATGTACTAGTACTTTACCACCTTCAAATAGTACTTTACCACCTTCCCATACTTCACCAAAAGGTCCGCCTCGTATCAATAGTACAAAAGAAAGCATGACTCGCAACGTACGAAGTCCTTTGGTTGCTCGCCGAAGAGGCCGTCCATGTACGAAACGGAAGGTTAGCAAGGTTGATGCAATAGTCAATTGGTTGAAGGAAAAGAATAAGAAGGTGCGTCAAGGTGAACCTCGTAAGTTAAGCTTTCCTTGTATGGGAGTCGTGCAACACACTATGTATGAACCGGTACGTGTTAAATATGAAGGTTGTTTGGGGTTTTTTATTTTGGCTTCTAATTTTATTGCTTGAAATTAGTAATTTACTTGTGTTACTATTTCATCATTAGGTGCCGCCAAGTCAACATTACTATCGTCCTTTTATGAATGCCATAGCAGACCCTTTCCTTGTCCCGATATGTGTTCAACGGACTCAATATATTCCACTTTGTTTGTGGAATTTTGTTTTTATTATTTACTTTATTTTTACAGGCACCAGTTACCACAAGTGGGGACGACATTGGGAGCACATCTTTTGTTGACTTGAACATCGACGGGGATCCGAATCTCCCATTTTTTTTTAGTTTCGAAGTGGTAATTGTACGTGAATTTCGTTTGTAAACTTTAGATTGTTCACTTGAATGTCCCATATGTCTGAGTTCAATGAAGTGAATGACCCATATTTTTGAGTTGAATGATTTGGAAATATTTTGTTATTCTTAGAAATGGTTCTGTAGTGCTTGAATGAATATGTTGTTAGAAATTTTTTGTTATTCCAACCATATGTTATTCTTAGAAATTTTTTGTTATTTTTTGAGTTGAATGAATATGTTGCTGATGAAGTAAACTCTGCAAATCTGATCTGACTGAATGAAATCTGTTAGCAATGGTCTCTGCAAATCTGGTTTATGTCTGGCTGCCCAAATCTGTCCTGTTTTGTTCTGTTCTGAGTTGCTGATCTGGTCTACTCTTGGAGGTGAATCTGTTCTGATCTGTTCTGCATTGGCTGATCTGACTGATCTGGTCTACTCTTGGAGGTAATTGCTGGTTTATTTGCTGATCTGTTCTGCATTGGTTGATTTGATCTGATCTGCTGATCTGATTTCAGTTTATTTGCCAATCTGATCTGAGTTGCACAAATGGGAATTGGCTGATCTGATCTGCATTGGCCCCTGCCGTTTATACATGCGTTGTTATGGATCTGGCCATGTATAAATTTTGTTATGATTTGAGTTTATATGTATTGGCAATTGTAGCCATGTATAAATTTTGTTGCTGAATCATGGTTGCTTTTGGGAATACAATGTCAAGTTCGCATTTGCCAAACCACTTTTTAGCAATCTGAGCTGAGTTCTTTTACAAGTTTGGATTTTATAATTGAGTTGTTGAGAAGATCAACAAGCTTGATCTATCCTGCAGCTATTGAAATTCCCATGGCAGTATAACAGAATGCTGGTCCTTGTTGCAATCCCACTTTATTTATTTTGTAGATGATTGTTCATTTGTTCTAGGATAGACCATCATTGATAAGGCAAATAAACTGAAATGGGAAATAAATGATTGTTTATTTTGTTTTAGGATAGACCACTTTATTTATTTGTTCATTTGTTCCCATGGCAGTATAACAGAAATAAATCATTTGTTCATTTGTTGTAGGATAGACCACTTTATTTATTTTGTAGATGATTGTTCATTTTCTTGAATCCTTCAACCTGATTATCTATCATAAATCCAATTTGATAGACCATCACTGATAAGGCAAATAAACTAAAATGGGAATTGGCTGATCTAATCTACATTGGCTGATCTGATCTATTCATTTGTTCTAGGCAGATAGACCATCACTGATAAGGCAATCTGTATGGTACAGGTTGGTTCCAAGTGCCACATGAAGATATAAAATAATTGAGGAAAATAATTGAATAGGTTGGTTCCAAGTGCCACAGGTTGGTTCTAAGTTCCAAGTTCAACCTGTTAAGAAATTCATGCATGTCAACCTTTTCTGAGAAATAATGTCAACCTGATCAACCTGTTAAGAAATGCATGCATGTCAACATTTTCTCAGAAATAATGTAAACCTGTTCAACCTGTTTCCTTACATGCATAGCAATCTTTTCTGAGCACAATTCCCATCATATACACTGTTAAGAAATGCCCCTATTCATTCAACAAATTTCCAACTTTGTGAAGTTCAACCTGTTCAACCTGTTATACACATTCAACCTGTTAATCATTCAAGAAATGCCCCTGTTCATTCAACAAATTTCATACTTTGTGAAGTTCAACCTGTTCAACCTGTTATACACATTCAACTTGTTAATCATTCAAGAAATGCCCCTGTTCATTCAACAAATTTCACACATTGTCAAGTTCACACACTGTCATTCAACACACTGTTAAGCAACCAACATAATTCAACAGATTCCACACATTATTCATTCAACACATTTCATCTCAAACAAACCTGTTATACACTTGTTTTTTCAAACCATCAGATTTTTAAGCACCGAAAAAAAATTACAAAACAAGTAGAAAAGTAGATTACAGTCATAGCATGTTCCAAAACCTAACAACTGAGTCATTTACATGATAAAGTACAAAAATACAAAAAAATACAATTACATAAGTCATTCCCTTGAAAATTTTCTCCATCATTTGAAGCCTTCTATCATGCTCACCAACCCTTCTCCTTAGATCATTAATTTCTTTTGTTGTTGAATCTGTCCGAGGTGCAGCAGTGGCACGGATTGTGGAGGTAATGTCGTCGTCGTCATCATCTGCGAACCACCTGAAGTAATTGTAGTGTTCGTTCCTAGTCTACAATGGACAAGAATCAATTAATCAATAAAGGACAAATCAAATTTGTAAAAAGTAACAGATTCATTTATATAACAGGTACTTACATATTTTCTTGGGCAAACAAAATAGACACGTCCTTGATTTCCATTGTCATTGCTTTGTACAATACGCATGGAAGCTATTCTTCCACAATTACAATACCTTGGCTTTAATCTCATGTCCGTATTATTAGTAGAAGTTAAAGCTATTTTGTTATCTGCATAACAAATACCAACAGATTCAACTAACGATGTTCTTTCTATATTTTTTTTATCAACAATGGTAGAAGGTTGAGACTTGGGCTTTGGAAATTGAAAAGGATTCGCTACGCTGTGCAGCACAACTGCAACTCAGCAACAACTAAAGTTTATATGGTCACATTGTGTGTGTGTATTGGAAGGTAGCTTATATATATATATATATATGTAAGTGATAGTAATGCTTATATGGTCACATTGCTCACAAAGGTTTTGGCAAGGAAAAAATGGATGACTTACATGATTATAAGCCTGCAATGGTTATGTTTGGGCTGCAGGTGATCTATGCAGGGGTTTCTTTAACAACCAGAGATGCTCTTTTGCAAGGAATGAGCCCTAGGGTTTTTGTGGCCTATAGGCAAGCCATAGCTACCCTAGTTATTGCTCCAATAGCTTATTTCACAAGGTTGGTTCTCTCTCTCTCTCTGATGCACCATAAATATAAAATGTTTCACAATTTTTATAAAAATTTTCATAGTGAGATAGTGTTTAGATTATGAATTTAGGTAGATATTTGAAAAAATAAAATAAATAGAAGGAGAAAATGAGACAAATATAAATGAAATATAAGTTAAATTTTTTCTCAATTTCCCTTTACCTTTTTGCAATTCCCAATTCAAATTCATCATCCAAAGTGTAATTCTAAATATACAAAAAACAAAACAGCATGGATGTATGAATAGGATTTTTCAAGATTGGGAAAAATTTGTCACAAATTAAAGGCTATTAAATCAGAATGTGAACATTTGACAATAGATCAATCTAATAAGGGCAAATCCCAAACCCAAATAAGAATTTGTCTACAAATTTGTCACAAATCAGAATGTGAACACAGTGTATAAGGGCAAATCCCAAACCCTAACTTGAAGGAAAATCACAAATTTCATTCTTGAACACAGAGTATAAGGGCAAATCCCAAACCCTAACTTTGAAGGAAAATCACAGATTTCATTCTTGAACACAGAGTTCACTAATTTCTACAAAAATTGACGCCAAACGTAAACCCCAACTTTGCGATTTCAGGTTTGCCTCAGATTCGCTGTCGCAGGCTCCCGTTCGTCGTGGTTCGTCGTCCTCCGTCCTCCGTCGTGGTTCGAACTCCTTCAAGAGACAAGTGAGAGAGGCGAGAGTGAAGAGGTAGAGAGGAGAGAGGGATGAGGCAAGAGTGAGAGAGAGGTTTGTTGAGAGTGAGAGAGGTGAGAGAGACGAAAGGAAACTGTTAAGGAGAGTGAGAGAGGTGAGAGAGGCGCGAATGAACTGCTAAGAGGGGAAGAGATCGAGAGGAGGGAGAAATTTCAACTTTCGAGCCATTCAAGCCCGAAACATTCAAGCTACGAGTCATTTTTCAAAGAAATATATAAAAAATTATTATTATTATTATTATTATTATTATTATTATTATTTCTTTCACTTTCTTATATTATCTATCTAGTCAACTGAGCCCCGTAGTGAAAAACCGGAAAATGGGCTAAAGTTAGGCATAGATTAGAAGGTGTGCTGGCTCTCTTTGGGGAAAAGTTATACATAGAAAAAAAAAGTACATATAAAATAAAAGGTGTAGGATCCATTTTCAAATATAATATTTTGCAGGGGCCACTCAAAATGAATCTATATTTATGTTCACCGAATGTGACTAAGATAAGGGTGCGAATTACGTTTTTAAAATCTGTATTCAAATTAGATATTTAGATACTCTAATTGTAAAAAAAGACATTCATATTTAAGGGTCATCATTTTACCATTTCCTAATGAGCCTTCTCGTTGGGTTGAGTCTCGGTCTAAGCTTTGAGATTCGATTTCGTTTGTTGACTTGTGAGAGGCAGGGCAGCCAAAAATATGAAAAACCAAGACAAAAATTGGAGGAAAAAACCCCCTAAAAAATAAGCTTGAATCTCAATTTATTGGGCTAAATCCACGGGCTGTATGGGCCAAATCCATTTTTGGGCCTAAAGCTTTTGCCTGCGAGTCGAACCGTAAAAAATGCGAGTAAACTTAGATATCAGTTTCGTAGCCCAACCGATACCAACTTTTTTTCCATATTTACTTGTAAAAGAACATTTTCACCTTCTTACACAAATAAATTTTTTTTATAACTTTTTAGATGAATTTTAATTTGAGAAAATTACCCACAGGTCCTATTTGAAATATGTGTATACTATTTAATCCAATAACTTTTTGAGTAGACCCAAAAGTCCTACTTTCCTTTTCTCTCTCTCTCTCTGTGTTTTTTGCCTCACTCTTTACGTTTTCCTCTCTCTATTTTTTTCTGTATTTTCCTCGTATCTTCTTTGTCATGGATGACTGCTTCTTCTCTTTCTCTTTCCGATATATAGTCACCGGCGACCGACTACTACCATCGATTGGGATTCACGGGCAACCACCGACCGCCGACTCCTTACTTCACGCTCACCGACGGTAAAGAAGATATGTTTCCGACGAAGAAGATGAGTAGATCTACTCAATTCTGATGTAGATCTACATCAGATTTGGCTAGATCTAAACAAAAAATAGTTGCCGGAGTACAATCCTCTCTCTATATCCGTCTTTCTCCTTCGATCTCTTATTTTTTTTTCTACATTTTCTTTGCTATACACTTCTCTTTTTCTGTTCTAATGGAGAAAATTTTCAAGTTCTAAATAAGTTATTTTCGAGTTTTAGTTACAGGCGGTGAAAACTGTAAAATTTTATAGTTTCAAATTTTTTTAGTGCTGGAATGAATCATGGTATAAAACTGTAAAATTTTACAGTTTCATAACATTTTTTAGAACTGTAAAATTGCTTAATAGATTTTTGCTTTGAAACTATAACATTTTACAGTTTCAAAACTTACTTTTCAGTTTGATCAATATTGAAGATTATTTGCTTAAACCTTACAAAAATTAAAAATTAGTATATTTTTTTCTCGTTATTGCTGTTTTTTGTCGTTTTATTTTTTTCTTTTAGTTTATCAATATTTAGCACATTTTGCTATATTTTTTTGCTCTAATTTCTCCATTTATTCCTCTCTTTTTTCCCGACAATATTTTAAACATTCTGGTGAGTCTCCAGTGATGTTTTTAACGTCCAGTGAACGTTCTGAACATTCCGGCGACTTCCATTAACGTTCTTAAATACTCCGGTGAACTTTCAGCGATACTCTGGCGACTTCCCGGCGATATTCCGGCGACTTCCCGGTGATGCTGAACATTCCGACGAATTTTCGGTGACCGTTTGATGGAAGTCCGACAGTAGTAAGATGTAACAGTGTCTATAAATTAAAATAATAATAATAATAAGATTTTTTGATAACAATTAAAAATGTATAGGACTAATTAGTGCAAGTGTTTTATTTGAGGATTAGATAGATCTTAAACTTTGTATATGAGACTTATTGGTAAGTTCCTCTTTTAATTTCGTATGTTCCATTTATTTCTTGCAATATACTTGAGTGAACCTACTTTTAGATCTCAACGAAATATCATTGGGTTGGGCTCATCCTATATTTTTCATTTCATATTCTTTCGTCGATTGTGTTTGTACACATCAAATTTTTTTAAAAAAATTATTCAATGTGCATTGATTGTTTGTACACACCAAATTGTTTTAAAAAAAAATTATTCAGTATTCATAAGATACCACATAACACATGTCACATATCAATCACAAATCATTATGTTCTTTCTTGTTCTTCCATAACCCAACATGAATCTTATCTTCACCACTAATCAGCAGAGACATGAGGCACCACGTGATCATGTTGTGATCATGTTGTTGCAGAATCGAGCTACCTCTCAAATTTTTATCCTAAGAATTGACAATAACTAGCCCAACATTAGACAAACGCGGAATTGTTAGGAAAACCATGCCAGACAATTTTAAAATTAAATTTTAATTTCTTTCAATTATATTATTATTATCAGAATTTTTTGTTCTATAAACTTGAAAATTTAGAAGATAAGTAATTAGTGGATTAAGAAAGCATCCAAAATCTTCAAATAACTTGATTCTAGATAACCCATGGGGCCAATCACACCCAACCCAAGCACAATAAAATCAGGCCCTACAATGTTCTGTCACACATTAAAGCTTATTAACAAAACCAACTTGTATGGTATTTCAAATATATATATATATATATATAAATTCAAATCAGTTTGTTTGGCATCCACTAAATAAGTGTTCCTATTTAAATAATTACATTTATTTAGATCACATCACTTCTTTATTTTTTTGCACATCTTTTATAAAAATTAAAAAATATACTTATTTAGATAATCTCAAAATTAATCACAAAATCGAACACAATAAATATGATTTTTTAAAAGTTAACCCCACTAATAAACCCTGTATTTGTGTTCTGCGTCCAATTCTTTGTTGGTAGCAGAACAGAAAGAAAGCAAGAACAAAGAAACCCTACTCAAAAGAAGCCTTTTTTTTTTCCCCCCCACAAGAGACATCAGAGCTTGAGTTTGGTCCTACATCCCAGTTTTGAGAAGAGAACTGCAAGCATAGCAAAGAAGGCAGCAATGGAACACATGACCCATGACACAGCCATCAGTACCCAATCCTTGAGCTTCTTCTTGGGAAGGTGGGTCCGGTCCGATCGAAGCAGTGCCCGGTAAACTGCCTCGCTTAATGCGAAAGCAGTGACGGGGACGTCGGATTCCTCAGGCAGAAACCCTTGCTCTGTTATGCAAGCAATGTCATAGGCACCTGTGGTCTCTGGAATGCCCAGATATTCACAAATCTTGAGCCGGCCATTGATCCTTTCCTCACAAGATAGCATGTCACCATGAGTCAGTATCAAGATTGGGTTCTCATCTGGCAAATCATATTGAAAGCAATTTCATAATCAAACAACAATGCAAAGCCAAATACAAATATTGTAAATTATGCCACACAAAGTACTGGGACATGGTATCTATCACAACTTTTGTTTTTAGTAAATACTTTGGATAAGAGTTTCTAATTTTAGGGTTTCCTTCAAGGTTTTAGTATTTAAATTGTTTAGTAGATATTGGGTGCAACGATGATACTACGTGACACTATTTGTATTAGTTCTGATCATTTTATGTAATTATGCCAAACATGGGGAGAGAAACTTACTAGTTGTCCTAATAGAAGGGCAGAGGAAGAGATCTCTAGTAGCTCCAATGGCCTTCAAATCACCATTCTCAAAACCCTTGTGGATCTCTACCAAGTTAGCAACCACCATTACACAATTGACCATTCTCTTAGCAAACCTTGCAGATGACAGTTGAGTAATGGGTTGTTGTTGTTGTTCTTGGTCATCCCCTGGCCTGCAACAGAGCTGGTAATGGCGAACTCCATCGACCATCCATGTCGTCACCTCTTCTAGACCTTGGATCATTTGATGACAATCCAAACCCCTAGTGTCGTATACGCAGAACCCACTTCTCATTGATCTTAGAACATTGTGTTCTTCCATGTACATTGTTGTGTAGTTTGAAGATTCACCTGCAATGCAATACCAAAATTATACACAAGCTCATAACGCCTTGCTCTATCAAATTGTCTAGTTTGGTGTTTTAAAATCAGAACTACTACCATCCCCCAAAATTTCAATCACCCAAATCAACAAGTTTATATAGGTCACATTTCATGTGACAGTTATGTCCAATTCTATACACATAAAATTTTTCATATTTAACTAATCTATAGCTTTGTACTGCTATATAAATATATATCAGTTGTGCTACAAATACATAATTTTTTTATAGAATAAAATACGAAAGTGAGATGACATCGTGTATAAGACATATTTTTTTTGCCTTATATCTGTGTTCTATAATATGAAAGTGAGATGACATCGTGCACATTGTTGTTTTATAATATCTGTGTAGAGAACATAGAAAGGTGGACGTAAGAGACATACTTGATGTTTGAGTGAAAGGGATGAGACCAGAGCGGCCAAGTACACTGTACATGAGGTTCACAAGAGAGCTCTTCCCACTACCACTCAGACCCACCAACACTATTGTGATCATCCCTGGTATCTCCATCTCTTCCTTCTTCATTCCACCTGTTGGCACCCAGAAGTCACCAGACCGGTATGCAATGAGCTTGTGCCGGAGGTCGTCGAGTCCTTCCGGTGCCACCAAGGCTAGCCTCTCCATCTCTCTCAGCACTCTCAATCTAGGTGTGAGCTGGTGGCTTGAGAGGTCCTCCGCCGTCAGACGGCTGTTTTTGTCCAACTCTTTGGCGGCTCTCCACCAGCCAACGACGGACCTTGGTGGCTCACTTTGGTCTTCTTCACTCAAAAGTTGGTTTGTCATTTTGCTTTTGTGAGGTGGGTTTGATGATGGATCTCTGAATTGTATGTAGTCTATAGGTATGTATCAAAGTATGTGTTATATAGAAGTTGGGTTTGGGTTTATGGATGATCCGAGTTTTGGTGAGAAACATTCATTTGCCTTTAAGAGATAGAGAGCGACAGAATGGGCTTGACTTTGGTGTACAACTCACATGTGATCCGAGTTTTGGTTTTATCTTCTCAAAATCTATTATTTGCCAAATGTAGATCAAAAGCATAAGACAAAATTGGATATATTTTACTATTATATTTGTACTTGTTATGTGTGTATATATATATATATATATATTGATGTAATAAAAATCACGATTATGTGTAAGATACATTATACTTTAAAAAAAAATAGAAAAATTTATCAATTTTTATGTCATATGAAAAATTACATAAAAAGTGAAATATAAATAATATATATTACAATAACTATGGTATTAACGTGATTATTGAGGTTAATCCTTATCAATCTTGTTGCCTGGATTTAAGTCAACGTCTTTTCCTTATTCCCTTTCCTTCTCTTGACAGAAAAATTAAACAAAAAAGTAGGGATAAGACTATTTTTAAAAAAAAATTGAAGGTTCCCTTTGCTACGAACCTGCTTGTAACTTTTTATAAGTTAAAAAGCAGAGACTCAAAATATTCTACAATTAACTTTAATAATTAAGCTTGCTTTATTTAATTCGAGTTATTTTTATTTGCATCAAACACTCAACTCGGTCACATATTACTAAGCGCAACTTGTCCCACCAGTAAACTGTTGTAATAAATTTTTTGATAGACTTGAGTTCAAGTCATAAAAACAGCTTTCAATAATAGAGAAACAACTGCCTGCCTATATCTTTTCATTCACAAATCATGTCATTATTACTACTTCAAAGGCTTTGAAAGACAACCAAAACAGAGAATGGAACAACCAAAAAATAACCCCCACATGATATTTAGATATCAATAAAACAACAACCATGAAATGCATGCCTTGAATTATGCAAAGGACCTTTAGCAGTAAAATATGTAACCACAATTTTCATTCCAAAGACAACATAGTACAAAGAAATAAAACTTCACTTCCTTTCCAGCAAATACACCTGGCAACAAAAAGGCTAATGAAGAATGAAAACCACACTCCCCCAGTGAAAACTAAACAAATACCAGACTCTATGGTGACTATGAATGCAAGACTCCAAAAACAGATAGAAGACTCGATTTTGGTATTCAGAAGACCCCCGCATTCAATCAATTTGTTTGGAGATTGCCTCAAGGCTATTTGCAAAACATTCCACGATACAAGGCGAAAAGTCAAACCACTACCAGGCGATCTTTTGCACTGTTTAAACCCGCGGTACCCTTTTTATTTGACCACTGTAGTATTATAATAGCCCCAGCTAAGCACTGTTCCACGACGACCGACACTGAACATGACCGGACACAGTGAGTTGACCTGACCTGACACTGACATATACCTTGTTGCCCTCGGCACGAACAACTTCATCCCCAAACTGGAATTCCTACAAAATTTACACTTGGTCAGTCAAAGAAGATCAAGGATAGCCTAAACCCTAAAATATGCCCAATTTAGTAACCAATTTAATGGGGGTCTAGGATGAGTAGATTAAGTAGAGACCTAAAATTTGACATAATTTATAAAAAAAAAAAATGGTTGTATCTAGAAGTGCATACAAGCTAAATGTGGAGGTCAAATTCAAAACCGGGAAATGGCTTAAAACTTAAAAAGGATTGGTTAAGATCCTGCTCTCATCTGTATGTGAAAACAGTGAAGATTTGAATAGATGAGTGTAGTGTAAATACCTTTAGCCGAAGTTGAATCCACCAGATGGAACTTGAACATCATTTCCTCCAAAGTTGAACCCAGGCTGCGGACCATCACCCGAAGGTAAAGTCTCATCCTCCTCTTCCAACCAATACGTCTCAAGAATCTTCACAGCCTTCTCATAAATCTCATTGTTGTCATGACTCTGGAGATTTTCTATCTTTTCCAACCCCTCAGCATCATCTATCAACTGGGCATAGTAATTAACATCTCCTGAGTTTCCCAAGTTCTTCTCAACTTCCCCAACCTTCAAGATATTTTCCAGCCCTTCCAAACAGACAGTGATAATCCTTGGATCAGGACATACAAGGAGATCGCATAAAGGCTTTATACAGCCCTGACCAACCAAGTACCTGCCATCGACGATGGAGGTCAATTATCAAAATTCATAACCATAGAAGGGACATTGAGACAAGTAAAAGAAGGAACTTGAAGAAAACATACTTGATTTGCTCATGAGTACCACCAGAAGTAGCATTTGAAATTGCCCAAGCAGCCTCTTTCTTTATATCAAACTCAGCAGTTTGAAGCAGATTGACTAGTGGAGCAATTAAACCAGCCTCAATTACAGCCTGTTAAATCAAAGCATCATATGCAATAAGGATGATTTTCTACTAACTGATCACTGAGGAAGCAAAATTTATATAAGATTGATTTGTGGAAACTAACACTCATTTCCAAACTCTAAACCAAATAATGGGGCCAGAAACACTCTATGGGGACACAGGGCACACTAGAAAGTGGATGATCCATCAGAAGACATAAAGTTAGAACAAAAAAAAATCTTTTATTTTTTTCCTTTTAAGCACAAAAGCAACCCATTCACACAAGATTATCTGATCTAAATAACATCCCACAAATTTAAAGAAAAAAAATAATGACAGTAGTCTTGGGTGGACCCTTAAAACGTTTGGTTCAATTTCCAAATAAACTTGACACACAAATACAGTAAAGTCTAGAACTCATCGCAAGTAAGGACAAAACCCTTGACGAGGAGGAGCTCAGAGAATATGAGAAAATGCATCATGTCAAGAGGTTGAATCCTCAAATTACAAATTCAGAAAAGTTTGAGCTCGAAAATTTTCAGTTGCAAATATTTAAATGCTTACCTGTATCTGTTCCTTGTTTCCAGCAGTAATGTTTGAGATTGTCCAACAGGCTTCTTTCTTGATGCTCTTCTTATGATTATGGGTTAACAGATTCAGCAAGCATGGAAGTGCACCATGCTCAATTATAGACTGGAGAAAGGAGGTTTCCATTATTAGATGCAAAATCATGGTACATTGAAAGCAAAGACAAATTCCACATGAAGCACAGGAAAAAGAAATATTAGCATGCTTACAAAATGTTCATAGCAGATGTGAAATGTCATTCTGTTTTCTGTAAACCATACTCGAGATATCACCATAAAATTAGGGTTCGGACACTGCCTTGGTAGCCAATGGAGACCGCTAGCCGGTTTTATTAGGGCTTGGGATGAACATTTGTAGCAGGGCACAACTAAATACAATAATTTATTGAGCAGGAGTAACCTGATGTAAAGGGTTATTTATTGCCAACTGATGGCCCACCCAAACCAGGTGCAGATATGAATTACGTGACCCTGCCAAAGGCTACAGCAACAAATACCATACATATCATCACCACTACGTAAGAAAATATTTCAGCAAGTCTTCCTTAAAAACCATAGAGCAACTCCCAGTCTCACCCTAGAAGCAACACCATCTATAAGGCCATGTTTGTTTGGCTCCATAAGATGGAGGGGATTAAGAGTGTGGTGAGATTCAGTGAGAAAATTATTAGTGCGATGGTATTAGGTTAGAGAAGTAGGATAAAGAATGTTTGTTTATACACCACGGAATTAATAATACTATAGATAGTATTAATATATAAAATTAATATTTTAATTTTTGATATTTTTTAATATTACAATTTTTTTTTTTTGTTTTAAAATATATAAATTTTGCTTAAAAATTATTTTAAAATTCACTAAATATAAAAAAATCATATATATTTTTTTTCTTTCATCAATAAATTATTTAAAACATAATAATATTAAAAATGGTCTTTTATTTTCAATGCAAGGGGATTGGATCAACTCCCAAATGGGTATGCTAATCCTACCCTTGGGGGGATTGGTAGTCCAATTAGACTAATAGTCCTACAACATTTTAACACAACCAAACATGGTTTTGATGGACCCCAACGATTGTTAATCCAATCCCCTCTTCTAAGAGGCCAAACAAACATGGCCTAAGTAACTTTGCACTCCCCTGTTGTCCCCTCACCTCTACACCTCTTCTCTTGCCTCTGTTAACCTTGCATAACCGATGTCGATCGAGTAACCATTAAAAATCAACCATTCATCAGAATTGGTTTGACGGGTCAATTACAGTCGGTCTAGTGGGTTGGGCATTATATCCATCATGCTTCTAGTTCTCTAATCTCCAACACTTTCAGCATTCAAAAATCAAATACCGCTAATGTAATTAAATTTAACCAAAAAATGGGAAAATTCATCAAATCATAGATGCATGTTTGGGAGATAATTCATCAAATCCTTGAGGTTTGAATATGAAATATGGAAGATCATTGATGCCCTTGTTGATGATCGCAGTCAAGGACACGGCGATTCTGCAATCTGTCATAGTTTATTGGTTTCTGTGGTGAGTGTCATTAGGGAGATCGTTGGAGAGGGGGAGGGGATGAGGGAGAGTTGGATGGTGAGGGATAGAAGAAGTTCAAAGAAGGTCAGGGTTTGGACTTGCAAAACATGTGAGAGAGAGAGAGAGACAGAGAGAGAGAGAGGGGGGGAGGGGGGGTTATAGATTGCGAGAGAAAGATATGGCTGATTTGTGAGAGAGTGGAGATCTTCCTACATAGAAAGTCAGAATCTTTGAAAAGATTTATATATATATATATATACATTTCTTATGGGAATCATGAAATAAGCTGACTTTTATGATATTTTTTATAAGGCTAATCTAAAAGAGCAAATAAAACTTTCTTATGGGAATCATGAAATAAGCTGACTTTTATGATATTTTTTATAAGGCTAATCTAAAAGAGCAAATAAAACTCAAACACGTGGTAGTATATTGCAGTCTTTAAGTACAATAAGTCGGTTGGGTTTTATACGTTTTTTTAATGCTAGATCCGACAATCAAACCAAAAACCGATAAAATGAACAACTTCTACCTGCTGCCGACCCAATCAGTGGTCAAAACTGTCCATAGAGCTTCGGGTCAGTCGGTTTGAACGGGCCAGTCAGCTTTTTGAACAGCCCTACTAGCATATATACAAAAGATGACAGGGGATAAGAATAGGAATCTAACATTGCATTAATGTCCCTGACCACGTGGTCCCTCTCTCAAACCAAGCAACAACATCTATTTGATAACGTATATCTTTCAATCCATTACCTAAGGGTTCGTTTGGGATGTAGGTTGGCTTTTTAGCTTTTTGACTATTTTAGCTTGGGGCTAAAAAGCCCCGTTTGTGATAGATTTTTTGACTTTTGTGAAAGAAAAAAAGAAATGATTATAGTTTGGATGTGATGTTTCGTCTTATTGCGCTAAAAAACCTATTTTGCCTTTTTATGGTTAAAATAGCCAAAAAGCCAAAAAGTTTGGCATGCCAAACGAAGGCTAAATGTCTTGTCTCCATAATGAACAATCTGGCACATGCATAAATGGCAGCTGGTAATTATTTGCAGTTATTAGCAATTTCTAACTGCAAGCAACTTCCTAAATGTCTGCCTCTCACAATAGGGGAGCATGTGACATGATGATATGTCAAACTGCACCATTACATTGGCGTTCTTTCTATAACAATTTCTTGATATTTGAGGTCCTAGATCATGCTTTACCAAAAGAAAATAGCAAACAATATCAAGTTCCTGATTTATGGACTAACAATGTCTTATCCAAAAAAAAAGGGGAATCCAAGTGAAACAAATTTTCCAAAAAAAAGCATACTGTGTGACTTCTACAATTTTTGAACCAACATGCATGTATCTCGAGTACAAACCGGGGGTCAAAGGAGTTGAAGAAGAAATTTTAATTTTGTAGCAGGACAGACACATAGATTCTTAGTCCATCCTCCTCCTTAGAACATCAGATGTTAATGATATCTACCAGTAACCCAAAGCAATCACCATACATTTTGGTCATGCTGTGCTCATTTCTTTCTCGTATTTCACATCATGTTTCTAACAACGACTATTTTCCAACATCTTTCAACATTTTGTTTCAAAAAATTTGCTTCTGCATGTTCACAAGACCTGCTCTAGATTATTCCAGGCACTTAGCAAAATAAATTTCTTCCCATACTCCAGCAATACATATTGATAGATCTTAAAACAAGAAAACGCCAAATTGAATAGGCTACAGATGAAGAATGTATATGTTGGCCTACATTAAACACATCATAAACATACATAAATACATGCATATGTAGTATATTATGTATGACAGACTTTATGTTTCAAGGGAAGAGGCATAGTTCAGAGTTGAAAGTTGAGAGACAATCTCTCAACAGTATTTTAACAACCAAAATCAGTAGTTAATAGATATCAAAATAACCAACAAACTGGCCATCTCTTTTCGATAATTAAAATAAGAACCAAGCGGAATGTTGAGAAAATAATGGTGGGAAAAAATAAAAAAGAAAATCCAAATCACCTCCCACAAGCTCATACCTGAGTCTGAACATCATCTCCTGTCACAATATTGCCAACTGTGCGAAGTGCTGGAATGAGCACCGATGGGGATGGATGGCTGGGACAAAAATAAATATAATTTTGACTTTAGAGGGCAATGGGTTAAATAAAATGTAAAGCTCAAACAAATAAGTAAAGTGCTACTTACAGGAGTAGTTCAACAAGTCGTTGACAGACACCTGCCTCAATCACAGCTTGAATTTTGTCATTTGTACCATCAGAGAGATACGAGAGCGCCCAGCATGCGTCTGTCAACACCTCTTCGTCACTTGAGTGAATAAGTCGCTGGAGGGCAGGAAGAGCAGGTTTTGTCTGCCAACAAATTTCAAATTTTTCTTAGTGCACAATGAACAGTGATAACAGGGAGAAAGAAAAAAAAAGCTTGCTTGAAAACAGAAAATTAGCACCCAGATCAAGACAAGAACCTGATCAAACGGAGGCTGTGGCTTGCCCCTGCAAAAGTTTGATAATGTCCATGTGGCATTTCTCAGCATTGAAAGTTTGGCATGTTCATTCAACTGTGCCAGCAAAGGAATCAAAGCGCCATTGCCGAGCACGAGATCACGGCACCTAGGGGAGTCACCAGCAACATTACCCAATGCCCACACAGCCTACAATCAAAAGTGATAAGACATAAAACCTCGCGTTAATATTAGTTGCAGATGATATACAGCTTCTAATTCAAAATAATTCAATAAACATTTGCCATTTTACCTGCTCGCGAACATCATCACTCGGAGAAGCTAAAAGCTTGACAAAAATAGGAACTGCTCCATGATCAATTACCACCTTAGTATTTTCCGAGGTACCAGAAGCAATGTTTGTCAGTGCCCAAGCAGCCTCAAACTGTAAGAAAATCAAAACAATGTACACAATATTTTCATAAAGCAAAGCATCCTGAAGAACAGACGGACAAAAACTGCACATAGAAACATCAGACCTGAAGTTGAGGGAAATCCTCCCTCATAAGAAACTCTACAAAGCGGGGAACAACACCAGATTGTATAACTTCTTCAATCGGGGGACTTCGTTCTGAAAATGAAATTTGAACAATTAATCTTCCAAAACTTAAACAGAAGAAATATAGCCACATATATCAAAACACGATCATATACCTATTGAAAGCAATTTACGGAATTGTGTAGTAGCCTCCAGTTGCAGATTGCTATCATTTGACCAAACACCAGCAACCAAGGAAGGAAGACTCTCTAACTGCAATCAAATCAACAGACCCCAAAACCTCAAACAAAGCATTACAATCAAAAACCCTAATCCGAACAACCGATCCAACCAAAATTACCAAGACCCAAATCAAAAAAACCAGAACTTTCGGCTATCGATCTCCAAATCCCAACTGTAAAGCCCTAAAATTTCAAACCCAATCATTCATAGTTCATACAGAACCAATCTACGAATTTAACATCATAGAACAGTAGTTAGATACACGAATAGAGTGAGAAAAGGGGGAATTGGGAGGACCTTTTTCTCGACTGTGGAGGCATGAATGTTGGAAGGGAATTGCTGGGCTTGAAGACCTTCGCGACGCTTCTTGAGCAAGCTCTCTTCGCGCTTGCTCTTGCGGATCTCAACCATGTTGTCCTCCCTCCGTCTCCGACCCTCCTCGGCATCGACGGCGACCTTGTAACGGTTCCGGCGAACCTCGGTTCTCGCACTAGGCCTCAGCGACATGGTTTTTGTTTATCTTCTTCACTCTAACTCTCAAACCCTACGACACTGTATCCAAATCCAAGTCCAAATCTATATATATATATGTATCTATGAGACAAAATCGAATAATCGATGAGCTTAATCACACCTGAACCTTGTAGGGAGAGAGAGAGAGAGAGAGAGAGAGTTGGGATTTTTGGGGGAGATGATTTTGAGAGAGAGAGAGAGAGAGAAGGTTTGGGGGGATTAAAAAGGTTGAGATCAGGGCTTGGATTTGGGGGTTATTTACGGATGGTGGAACCGCACTGACTTTGAATTTGAAATTGCGCCGACGACTGCAACCAAGTACTAACCATACAATTATTAGAAATATATATACACTAGCGTATGCCCGTGCCTGAAGGCACGGTATAAATAATTGTTATCGCAACACTATTGAAATTTAAGATTAAAATGTAATTATAAAAATCTATTTAATAGACTGCACTTTACAATTTCAAACACATCAAATATATATACATATATATATGCTTCAACAAAAAAAATAGAGTAGAATAAATTCAATGAATATTTATTTACAGGGTTGATGGATGGATCATGTACTTTCTAGGAAATTCCTCAATCTTGTAAATTGTAATCCTCTTCTATGGGCAATTGAATCTTGCCACCTCGCCTTTGATGTGTTGGAACTCATCCTTCACTTTCCATTTTAATTTTTTAATTTTTTACCCTTCAAGTTTTTTCTTCCTTAAGTTATTGTCTCAGAAGTCACTATTTTAATTAGTTATTTTAGATTTGGTTATTTTAATAGGTTAAAATTTATATTTACAAAGATGATTGAATTTTTTTATAATTAAATATGATATTTGTAAAAGAAAAAATAAAATAATTTTAAATTTAATATGATATTTTGACTGATTAATTATTTGAGTCTATTTTATTATTATTTTTTGTGTAAATTTTAGCCAGAAATAGCCTAAAACTCACTTGTCGAGGCCATTATAGTTCTACTCATACAAAAATTAATTACAAAATGGACACAATCTTTTCCACATTGGTATATGTTGGATTTATTTTTTAGTGTGGCCCAATAGCCTACATATCTTTCACATGTTTTATTTTATTTAGACTCCACAACTAGATAAAGTCAATATTTGAGATAAAATCCAGTAATTAGAATTTTAAATATGGGATAATTACTTTTCTAAGATAAGAAAGAAACCTTGATGGACAAGAATTCTTCTGATAGAGTTTATCCCGCCCTTTTCTCTCCTCTATATAAGGATGAGTGACTCCCCTTACATAATATGAGTGTATTTTCATCACTCTAAATTCTATACTCAGCCTAATTAAGAGAGATAGAGAGAAGAAGGTGAGCTAAAAATTCAAGATTAAACTATTAAGGGCATTTTCTCAACTTCTCTAATTCAATGGCTGATAAAGTTATATTCGTTTTATTCTTGAGTTGTATTGAATTTAAGATCCTACAAAATTTAATTCCACATTATTATTATGGAATAGTAATATATTTATGAATATTATTATTATAATTATTCATAAAATGGTACATCTATTTTTATTATCAAAAAGAAGATTAATGGCAGTTTCTTGAGAATGTCTTGTTATGTAATTTTTATCATGATATTATATTTTGCCCATCAAAAAGAAAATAGATTTGACAGTTGACAAAGCCTTCCGTTACAAGTTTTCAATATGTACACATATTTAAGTGAAAAAACTAAAAGAGAATGATACATTAGAGTATTTAAAAGAGAACCGTTGATAAACGTGTAATATGCATGCTTTGATTTATTTTTAATTTTAGCAATAATAATTTTTATAATCATTATAATATGACACTAAATTGAGTGTAATATTTATAGTACTTGCCATTATGACAAACTGCATAGGCTAAAAGCAATTTTAGAATTTGTTGAATCGTTCAGTCTATTAAATAAATATATTTATTTGACTGTATTATGTTAGATAATTATGTTTTTACCTTGTCTGATTATGTACACTTATTGTTTATTGTTGTTGATATTTATATATTTTCATGATTTAAATTTGATATCATGATATAATTTTATGACAGTGAATATTAAATATTGAAGTTTTTAATTCATATTATGTGTAATTCTTATTGACCATTATATGGGACATTCATGATTGTCATATTGTATAGTTTAATATATATATATATATATATATATTTGTTCGTTTAAAGTTATTATTATTATTATATTGGTAATTGTAATCACATAAAAGAAATTCTAGAAATGTGATTTCATCAAAATAGTGATTGAATTAATGATAATTAAATAACTCAAATTAATGAATAGAGAATATTGTTAGTTAGTTCTGTATTTATAAGGTTTACTAATTTAGTAGTTGCCAAAGTGGCCCAAATTTGTAAAACTTATGAATATAGAACTACATAAAAGAATTGTTAAAATGGTAACATTAAGGTCGATAATATTCTCAATTGCAATTATAATTAGGAGATTAAGACTAGCCCAAAGGAGAGTCACTTTCAAATAATTATGAATTGGGTAAGGTAATGTAACTTATGTACTTAGACAAATTAGAATTGAATACCCAAATGTAACATGACTAACTGAAAAGTTGCATAAATTACTTTAGGCCTACATAAGTGATTCTTGACGAGTAGACAATAGATATAAGTTTTGCCCAAAGGAAAGACTTATGCGATATCAATAGTTCATCATTATAATTCTCAAAGCTTTAATATGTATATTGTTTATGCCTATTTCCGCATTATTTATGAGACATTGTGTTAATACCTCTTAAGATCTGTAAAAAAGATAGCTTGCCATCTAAGGTGGTTGGAGTTATGTAGGTATACCTCTCAACTAGAAAACCGAAGGTTTGTGAAAGATTTGTCTATATGGGGAACTGTCTCAAAGCTGAAGTTGTAGCTGTAGTAACCTATCAACTGATCTTAGAAACAAGTCATCAAATGGATCTAGAAGACACTTTTTATGTTCCTTCAATTTCTAGGAATTTAGTTTTGTTATCCAAATTAGATCGTGTTGGATATTCAGTTTTATTTAGTTATGGAAAACTCAATTTAATATTTAATTCAATAATGATTGGTTCTGGTAATTTATGTGATGGTTTATATAAAATTACCTTAAATCATGAGTTTGCACAATCATTAGTAACTATGCATTCGAATATTGGCTTAAAACATGGACTAATTAATGAAAAATCCTCAATTTTGTGGCATAGACGGTTGGGACATATCTCTTGAAATAAAATTGAAAAATTGATAAAGAATGAGATTTTGGAAAACCTAGACTTCATTGATTTTGAGATATGTGTGGATTACATCAAAGGAAAGCAAACCAAATACACCAAGAACGGTGCCACAAGAAGTAACGAGCTTCTTGAGATAATTCATATAGATATTTACGAGCCACTCAACATCCCATGTCTTAGTGGTGAAAAATATTTCATCACATTTATAGATAATTTCTCACATTATGGATATGTGTATCTAATTCATAAAAAGTCTCAAGCTGTTGACATCCTTAAGGTGTACATAACTGAAGTCGAGAGACAATTAGATAGAAAGGTTAAAATAGTGAGATCAGACAGGGGTGGTGAATATTATGGTAAATATGATAAGTCAGACCAAAATCCTAGCCCATTTGCCAAGTTCTTAGAAAAGAAAGGCATTCATGCTCAATATACAATGCCAGGTATGCCACAACAGAATAGAGTTGATTTGATATCATGATATAATTTTATGACATTGAATATTAAATATTGAAGTTTTTAATTCATATTAGGTGTAATTCTTATTGACCATTATATGGGACATTCATGATTGTCATATTGTATAATTTAATATATATATATATATATATATATTCTTGTTCGTTTGGAGTTATTATTATTATATTGGTAATTGTAATCACATAAAAGAAATTCTAGAAATCATAAATAGTGATTTCATCAAAATAGTGATTGAATTAATGATAATTAAATAACTCAAATTAATGAATGGAGAATATTGTTAGTTAGTTCTGTATTTATAAGGTTTACTAATTTAGTAGCTGCCAAAGTGGCCTAAATTTGTAAAACTTATGAATATAGAACTACATAAAAGAATTGTTAAAATGGTAACATTAAGGTCGATAATATTCTCAATTGCAATTATAATTAGGAGATTAAGACTAGCCCAAAGGAGAGTCACTTTCAAATAATTATGAATTGGGTAAGGTAATGTAACTTATGTACTTAGACAAATTAGAATTGAATACCCAAATGTAACATGACTAACTGAAAAGTTGCATAAATTACTTTAGGCCTACATAAGTGATTCTTGACGAGTAGACAATAGATATAACTAAGTTTTGCCCAAAGGAAAGACTTATGCGATATCAATAGTTCATCATTATAATTCTCAAAGCTTTAATATGTATATTGTTTATGCATATTTCCGCATTACTTATGAGACATTGTGTTAATACCTCTTAAGATCTGTAAAAAAGATAGCTTGCCATCTAAGGTGGTTAGAGTTATGCAGGTATACCTCTCAACTCGGTTTTCTAGTTGATTTGTTTATATGGGGAACTGTCTCAAAGCTGAAGTTGTAGTTGTAGTAACCTATCGATTGATCTTAGAAACGAGTCACCAAATGGATCTAGAAGACACTTTTTATGTTCCTTCAATTTCTAGGAATTTAGTTTCGTTATCCAAATTAGATCGTGTTGGATATTCAGTTTTATTTAGTTATGGAAAACTCAATTTAATATTTAATTCAATAATGATTGGTTTTGGTAGTTTATGTGATGATTTATATAAAATTACCTTAAATCATGAGTTTGCACAATCATTAGTAACTATGCATTCGAATATTGGTTTAAAACATGGACTAATTAATGAAAAATCCTCAATTTTGTGGCATAGACGGTTGGGACATATCTCTTGAAATAGAATTGAAAAATTGATAAAGAATGAGATTTTGGAAAACCTAGACTTCATTGATTTTGAGATATGTGTGGATTACATCAAAGGAAAGCAAACCAAATACACCAAGAATGGTGCCACAAGAAGTAACGAGCTTCTTGAGATAATTCATATAGATATTTACGAGCCACTCAACATACCATGTCTTAGTGGTGAAAAATAGTTCATCACATTTATAGATAATTTCTCACATTATGGATATGTGTATCTAATTCATAAGAAGTCTCAAGCTGTTGACATCCTTAAGGTGTACATAACTGAAGTCGAGAGACAATTAGATAGAAAGGTTAAAATAGTGAGATCAGACAGGGGTGGTG